GGTTCTCCAGAACCTGTCAGAACCTGCTGGATTTCACCCCTGCCTCACCCCCTTGTCATCTACTCACTTACTTCTAGTTTTTATCTAACTTTTCTTAATTTTTATACTTATCTTTTCACTCTTTGTAAGACTGCAGTGATGTAGTGGTTAGAGTGCAGTACTGCAGGCTACTTCTGCTGACTCCCGACTGTCTGCAATTTGTCAGATCGAATCTCACCAGGCTCAGGGTTGGCTCAGCCTTTCCATCCTTCCAAGGTTGGTCAAATGAGGACCCAAATTGTTGAGGGCAATAGGTTGACTCTGTAAACCACTTAGAGAAGGCTGGAAAGCACTGTGAAGCAGTACATAAATCTAAGTGCTATTGCTATCCATAGTCGCCTTATTAGTGAGATGGGTGGCATGTAAATTTATTACATAAACAAAAACATCTGCATAAAGCTGCTGGGTTCATTGAATGGTTTAGGTGTCCCGAAATTGGATTACTGCAATTTGCTCTACGTGGGACTTTCCTTGAAGACAACCTGGAAATTGAAGCTGGTATAAAATATCTCACGTTCCCATGTGCCAATAGAAACAACCCATATTGTCTTGTTACAGTTGTGCTGCAGAGTTGCCTTGGTTTCTGATTTGTGTCCAGGTGTTATCCAAGGAACTGGTAATAACCTATAGAATTCTAGGTGACTTTACACTTAGTTGATTGTGAGATTCTAGACAGTAGAATCACCCAGCCAAACTATGCCAGAGAAGGGTGCATGTTCAGTCAGTGTGCTTGCTCCCACACGGGGTGATGAGCATTCTCTTGCCTCTTCCAATGCAGCGACCTGCCCCTTGTGATGTTCAGAAGTGAGTGAAGATGTGACTTGTTTGGAGAGGATCCAGGGACTGAGAAAGTGGGGAGATAAAGGTTCCTGAGGTGGGGATGAGCGCTGGTGATTACAGAAAGCTGTATAGGAAGATCTTTTTGATAAGATTGTTGGAGAGGATCTGTTTTTGTTCTTCATCACAAACGCACCATCTCTGTTCCCTTTTTCAATAGTGGGGTTGCCCAGCTGACCTAGGGAGACTGATTAAGAAAAGGGTTGGCGAAAGCACCATGAGCTTGATCCAAAGGGGGCTTCAGACTGAACCCTGTGGTGGTTGGGAGCATGAAGGAGGACACCGGAAGAAAGGTGAGCATGGCTTCTTTAGGACAGGAAGGCAGATTCGGCAAGTGAGACCTGGTGGTCTCATGAATCTCATGAGGGAACATGGAACTGAAGGATACAACTAGTTGTAAAGGAAGCAAACAGTCCTCTGGGGGAGGGGAGGTCCTGTTTGGGCACATCAATGGCTCCTCAAGGTACGTGATCAGATTGGAGGGAGGCCCTGCAAGGCCCTGCGGTTTTCAACATTTTTATTCATGACTTGGATGAGGTAGGAGGCAATTCATCAATGCCATAGCATTTGTTGGGATAGCTAATACCCTGGAAGACAGGAATAAGACCAAAGACAAGCTTCCAAGTTAGCAAAATAGAGTGAAAATAACACAGGGCAAAATTTAACAGAGATAAATGCAAAGTTGTTCACTTAGGAAACAAATCAAATGCTCAAGGATAGAATGGGGGGCTAGCTGTTTGGTAACTGTACTTGTGAAAAATACTTGGAATAATGGAAGCTGAGTGTGAGTCAGCAGTCTGAAGTAGCTGCAAAAAGGGGGGGGGGAAGCAAATGTAATCTTAAATTGCATCAAGAGAAATAGTTTCCAAAATCACAGGAAGGATTTTGCATTCTGAATGTTCTGTCAAACTCTGGACTTCAACTATAACAGATATTGAGACGACCGATAATCTGTTGGGTTCAGAGATATTTCCTCACCTAAACCAATAAACAGAAGGACCGCAGGTGGGCAAACAAGCAGTGGCAGTCGGAGAGCGTTTCAACTTCCTGCCAGCTTCTCCATGGACTTTGCTGACCAGAAGCATCCAAAATCATGATCATAGGTCCATGGCTGATCGCAGGGGCACGATAGCACTGCAGGGCAGCCTGGTGGGGCTGCAGCAGCCACAACTTTCCCTATACAGTACAATAAGCTTGGAGATCCTTGAAATGTCAGTCCCAGGGGAGTCACAGATCCCAGATTTTGGATGCATTCTTTATCTTCAGGTCCCTTGAAAATTGTTGCTCTACAATGCACCCAACTGAAGGACACAAACAGTTTTATTACTATATGGAAGATATAATATAAAGAAGGGTGTAAAGTAAGACCAATAAAAAGATAGGGAAAGAGTTGAGGCTATTTTGCTTTAGGAGCAAAAGGTCAAGCCAGAGTGCAGGACACAAAATCATGAAGTCACAGGAAAGAAGATTGATGTTTAGTCTCAAGAAACTTGTAACAGTGGGACCAAAAACTCCCTTTACTGGATGTATTTGAGCTACAGTGACCATTAGTTAGTTTTAACCATGAAGTCGTGTCTGACTTTTGGTGACTGTAGACAAGTGTTCTCCATGCTACCCTGTCAGTTGTTGGGTGTTCACCTTTGTGTTCCCACATTTGAGGGAATCAAGCCAGCAGGTTCTTTTCTGACCTCTTCTTCTTGACCCACTAACCATTCCTAGCATCACTGACCTTCTCCAATGAAACTGTGAGCTTTATTACTAAAGATGGTCCTCTATTTCAGGAAGCTCTCGCTTAGATTTATATATTTTTCAAAAACTTACTTCAGCCCCTCATTCTGGTCATTTGTACAAATGGTATCACTTAATGCACAGTTTTTCACATTCATGTGAAAAATATGGGAAGTGAATTGTCTTTTTAAAATAAATGTAAATAGACTGATTTTATTTACTGGTCTTTGAGGCTGGAAGCCATCCCCGGAAGGTGGATCGTGCTCTGAACAGAGAGAGGATTGGGTGTGGGGACTTCAATATACATATATACCTCTGCAGGGAGGTGTGTGTGTGTGTGTGTGTGTGTGTGTGTGTGTGTGTGTGTGTGTGTATAAAGAGGAGGGGCTCCTGGGCAGAGTCCATATCAGAGGTGCCAGAGATCAGAACAGCTACTGAAGATCAGATTAGGTCAATATTCCTCTTGATACACAGAATTAAAATACCTGGGGACCTCAGTCAATCCAGCATGACTTCTCACCCATGGAGTAATATCACTAGTATCACTGCTTATTATTAATAAAACAAAAGTCACCTCCCAAGATGGAATTTAATCATATGGTAATACGAATATGAATCAGCTCTCAGAGTAACTGGCCCACTTTGGTGGGACAATAGCAGGCATCCCTGGCTAATTTTTTTGCATGCAAACTTTTCTTCAAAGGGCTGAACCCATCAATGTTTTTGGAAACTTCTATCTAGGATCGATGGTTAACTTTGGAAAAGAAGCATCTTTTCTAGCCAGATTCTGCCTTGACCTGCGGGGTCTGGACCTTGGTTTTCTGCTGCAGTGGGACGGAAGAACCCTTAGCTGCCCTGCTATCGGTTGTCCCACAGATGAAAGTGAATCGCTCACGTAACCAGGGAGAATCAGATTCTAGGTGGCAGAAGCCCCCGCTGGGAGGGGGAAAGATGGTGAAGGTTGAAACAGCCTGTGGGCTGGCTTGCGAAGGACCCACTGCTAAGTGGCAGGTAGTGGAGGTCAGAAAAACCTTCCTCCTGACCCAGGAAAAGAAGAGGCAGAGCTTTGCTGAAGCCAGAATCAACGCCCCCCCCACCCCACCCCCACCGTCGTTCTTGCATTTCTGACTCCACACAGCTCCCCCCAACTCAGCTGCCCCTCAATGTCACCAGATGTTGCCTTCCTGCCTCTCGGCTGCTTCTGATTTCAGGTGAGAATTTCTCTTTGTCGCAAATTGCCTATTCAGGTAATAAAAATTGGCCTTTTTCTGTCACAAGTGCAGCGCTTTTCATATTTTCACTTCCAGCTGTCTTTTACTTTCTTTTCTCTCTTAGTTAATAGAAGCCGTTGAGGGTAAGGCGCCCTTAGCAGTCATCTGCTCAATGGAACCCGAGAACAGAGAGGGAGTTCCGGGTGAAAGCAGGACAAAACCTGAGCTTTTAATGGTGTTTTTGATTCGTGAAATAGAGAAAATTGCATTTGATTATATCTGTAATGGGGGATTATAACTTTGGACTGGCAGGGCAGCAAATGGCTACTTCACTGCAGGGAAAGATTTTGTCTTGTCACATCTATGCGTTTTGAAACAATTACATGCATTTAAAATATTTTAACTTTGGATTTGCATAGCTCAGAGTTCTCCTCCAAAATATTGGGGATGGGGGGCTGAGCAAGGCTGCTCCTTGACTCTTGGAGGCCCCCCCTCCCCCGAGCTGTAATCTTAGCATGAAGAGCAGCAGCTTCATTGCCCACTGGATGCTGCTGCATTTCTCAGGAAGCTGGCGGGGCCAGATCGCTTCCTCCTTTCCTTCTGAGGCTGACCTGTGAAGCAGAGGTGGGTTTCAGCAGGTTCTGATCAGTTCTGGAGAACCGGTAGTGGAAATTTTGAGTAGTTCGGAGAACTGGCAAATACCACCTCTGGCTGCCCCCCCCCACTCCACACCTATTCTCTGCCTCCCAAGTCCCAGCTGATGGGGAGGAAATGGGGATTTTGCAGTAACCTTTCCCTGCCATGCCCACCAAGCCACACCCACCAAGCCACACCCACAGAACCGGTAATAAAAAAAATTTGAAACCCACCACTGCTGTGAAGGGCATGGCCAAAGCAGAGGTGGACACCTTCAGGGAGAGAAAGAGCCCCCCTTGACCTTTCCTGGCTGCTAGGTTGGCTTGGCTTTGTCCCCAAATCTTCCTGTGGGGCAAAACAGCATGGCTCCTGGGTACCCACAGCTGGGGCGTCAGCTATGGTGCATGTGGGCACACCTTTGACTGAGAGGGTCCCTGAAGGCATTTTCTCCCACTTGGGAAATGGCAGAAATGGACTGAAAGTGTCCAGTTGGGAGGAGGGGGAGGAATATTCATGGTGCCACTCAGAGCCGGATTTTCATGGCTGTGCCTTGTTTGTGATGGTGCTGCAGGACGAGGCAACCCTTGGAGGCAGCTGTGGGAAGATTGTCTGCAAGGTCCAGGTTACTGAGCAAGCAAACAGGATCAGCAAACAGGTTTGCAAAGAGAGAAAAACCAACATTTGGTGGGAGTTCAGCAGAAGGGGACGGGGGAAGAGATGGAGGAAGCAGGAACCGGGGTGAAGGACTGGTCGGTTGCTCTTTTCTGTTGATGGCCTTTTGCCTGTAATTGGAGCCCTGCTTGTGGATGGCCGGCTCCCAAGACAAGAGGTGCAAAGGGGGAGAGGAAAGAGGGATTTCAGCAGAGGAGATGTGTTGAGTATTGAATGGCAGATTCAAACGAGCCAATCAATGAAAGAGACCCGGGAGCGGGAAACTTAAGCAAATGTCAGTGGCTGAAGCCGCGGACAGCTCCGGGCTATAAAAGGGGCTGCCGCGGCTGGGATTGCCATTGTAGTTTACGGAGTTTAAATAAAGTATCTGTTGCTAACGGAGTGTCCAGTCCTTCTTTGCGCCTGATATTTAACAAGATGAAAGAGGCTGACTGTTGTGCTGCAGGTACCATTTTACTGCTGACTCCGCTGCTGACCAGGTTCAGAGAAGACCTAAGGAAGCCATGTGGCCAGACGGTGCGCTCCCTGAATGAGTGACCAGGGAGAGCAAGCAGCGAGTTTAGTAGTCTGACCCTTTGGGGTTTGGATTTATCATAAAGAAAGGGGGAGGGAAGCTGCCCCTAGGAGGGGTAGGGTCATGCTTGTTTTTCTTCCTGAAGACAACCTGCGGGCAGGCTGGTTGACTTCTGCAAAGAGAAAGGGAAGGGTCTATCTCCCAATTTATCAGGGATTCTTGGAAAGGGGCCTTCAGGGAGACAACAGCGCCACAAAGAGAGAAGCAAACCAAGCGGAGGGGACAGAAAGATGGAGGGATGTGACCAAGAGGACCAAGAGTATTCTGCAGCTTCAGAAAAGCTCTCACTGTGGATGACATCTCTGGCCCTGGATGAAGCACGGCGGCCATGAGTATCAGGGTCTGAGAAGGAAGGAAAGTGCTACAAGCCCTGCAAAGGGAAGATTATGCTGGGGTGGGGGGGAGATGGGTGGCGGTAATTAGAAACTCTCTGCTGAGAGGGACCATAATGGCAAAAGAGCAATACTATTAGATGACCTGTGATGCCCAATGAGTGGGCAGATGGATGGAAATGTCAGTGTCCATTCTAGCCCTGTGCTGTTCAACACATGTATAAATTACTCAGATGAGTGGTTAGAAAATATGAGGATCAGGTCTGCAGCCAACAAAAAGATGATGGCAAACACCTTGATGAACTGAATCAATTTTCAGGAGGATCATGACAAGCTGGACAGTTGGGCAAGAACAACATGATGAATTTTAAAAGAGACAAATGTGGGGTGAGGAAAACCAACCTGGGCACCATTACATGTCAAAAGAGTATCTTTAACTAGTCAGTGAGTCACAAGCTGAACTTCAACCAGCAATGGTGCTGCAGCCGAAAAGAAGAAAAGCAGATGCCATCCTGGCTGCAAAGGATTGTGTCAAGCTCAAAAGGGGAGATCATTCTTCCCCATTCTGCATTGGTCAAAGGAGCCTTGGTAGTACAGTGGTCTAAAGCACCCTGTTATTAAGACCAGCTGCCTGCAATTACTGCAGGTTCGAATCTCGCCAGGCTCAAGGTTGACTCAGCCTTCCATCCTTTCTAAGGTAGGTGAAATGAGGACCCAGTTTGTGGGGGCAATAAGCTGACTTTGTATAAATATACAAAAGGATGAAGGCTATTGCTTAGCGCATTGTAAGCCGCCCTGAGTCTCCGGAGAAGGGCGGCATATAAATCAAAATTAAAAAAAAAAACAACCACTAGAATATTTCTCCTTGTTCTGTCTCAAACATCCAGGTCATGGTTGTCCCAAAGGTGCTTTTCCAAAAGGCACCTGGACTTTCTTGAATTTTTTTTCTTTTAAAATGTTTCGCTTCTCATCTGAGAGGCTTCTTCAGTTTTTCCTGTTCTGTTTTGTTCGGCTCTTTAGGAAAGCCAATGAGACTTATTCAGGGGGGAGCAGTAAAGGCAATAAAAGTCTTGTGTTGTGGGCAGTCATATTAATTAAAGTAAATTGTCCTGGACAAGTCTTTGGGGATTCCATCTTTTACTCGTATCTGTCTTTATGTTTTCCAGAAAACAGAAGAGACACCAGATTACATGGCAGCAGCTTTTGGCTGGACATCTAGAAGCATCTCCTAAAAGCCAGAGCTCTTCAGCCAAGGAGGAGGCTGCACAGGGGGTGAGGAGCTCCCTCTCTTTCACTGTACGACTCTCTCTTCCATGGAGACTCAGCACTGAGCAGGGGGTGGGAGGAGAAGACCTCCAAAGTCCCTTTCAGCCTGGACCTTCTATCAGCCGTGGAGATAGCATTTCCATTCACACTGTGTGGATGAGAGAAATGAGCTCAGCCTTCCAAATCCACCACTGAAAGCAGGAGTAGCTCTTTCCGCCCTCCACCCCTCAAAAGCCCTCAGAGTTCTGCAATTGGCAATCTTGCATTGCTGAGAAAAAGTCCATCCTGTCATCGCCTGTTGTGGAACCTGCAGCAACAAAAATTCTACATCCTTTCCATGCAGAAAGGAAAACAGACAACTTTCCTCTAGCAATGTTTTGCAAGCCTCCAAAATCCAAGCAGCCCATATGAAGGACAGCAGTAAACTCACCCAGCCGCCTCTCCTTTAAAAAGAATGCTGGGGGGGGGAGGAATTGGGGTCATCGTAAGGCATCAGCTTCTCAGAAGGGGAAACCAACCGACCATCTATAAACTCCCGCAGAGCCTTGCATTAAAAATAAGAGGCTGGCCTACTGGGAGTCAAATAAGTCTCAGCCGAGCCAGAAATAGATCTGGTTTAATTGGTGGTGAAACAGTAGGATCACATGGGGCTGCGGTTTGATTTGAACTGATCCTCATCTTTGGGGAACAAGCTTCCCTTGTTCAGCAAAAATAGCCATCGGGTGGTGGAAGCAGACTTCAAGTGAAGATTAGGAGAAACTTCTCACAGCAAGAGCTGAAGAGCTGAAGACATGACTTGGGATGACTTCACTGAAGCAGAGAGATCTTGCGATTCCAGATCCTGCATGGAGCTGTCAATTGATCCCTTCGAGGATTTTATGAAGTTCTGCTGCAGCTCAGTTTGGTATAGGTGGGATGACCGAGGGAAATTCTGTGCACTTTTAGCCCCTTTCTTGAAGGACATTTAGCTATTCAACTAAAAGCACTCTATTGAAAATCAATAAGCATAATGTGTTTCAAAGCCAAGTAAAATAAAACATGACAATATTATTTTCTGATATTATCCTTCCATATTGCCAGAATCAACATGCTTCTTTACATGAATTTTAAAAAGTGCCAAATATGGTAGAGGTTGTTCAGATGTAATCCTAACCCTTCTCATTTTTAGACAGAAAAACAAGTCTATGAAACATGAGGGTTATTTTATTTTTGTTTTGTTTGTTATCTGTTATTTTGTTATTTTAACTTCATAGCCATTTTAAGCCGCAGTGCAAACACAATAAAGTTTGGAAATTCACAATAAAGTTGCAAATACCAGATAGTTTGCATGAATAGGAAGGCAGGATTTCTTGATTAAAATCAATACAGTCAAATTATACCTGTTTTTTAAAGCACCCAACTGCCCTGGAACTCAGTATGACTAATTACCTAAACAACAGAATGAGTAGCAGATGAGAAAATCAAATTTAAAAGCAAACAATTTTAGCTTTCCTTCCTTCTTCTTCTGCCATGTTGTAGGACCAAACAGTTGGAGTTCACCCATCAAACAAGCCATGGTCGAAGAAGTCAGAACAATTCAGAGAGTTCAGGAAGAATGCCAAGCCATGGTTTTCTAATCTAAGTGGCCTTGGCAAACATGCATGCGGAAAGGGGTGTCCCCCATGGGAGGAAGAGGAGGAGGACTGAGGACTGAGTATTGAGGAGGAGGAGGAGTGAGCCAATTTTATTCGACAGGCTAGCTAGCAGCCCAGATGAGAAGCAATTAGGCAGTGTTATTCGCTCCACAGATGACTATGACCAAGTGGGGTGGGTGGGTGCTGGAGCAGCTCAAAAACCCAGACAGTCTGACAAAGCATCACATCCAAATTAGCGGAAGCAACAATTCTCTCTCTGCAATACATAAATCACACTTGGAATAGGAGCCCCAGCCTGGGCATTGCCAGCTGCCTCTTAGGAGGAATTTCTGATAATAAGAGCCGTTAACCAATGGAACATGGTGCCTAGTGCTGTGATGGATTCCCCTTTACTGGAAGAAATCTCCCTGGATTTCTAAGCTTCCAATTCACATTGGCTGCCTTCTTTTCAATTCATCTTCTAGCAATCCCTATCAGACAATTTGTCTTTTTTTGCAGCAATCACACTCTAGATTGATATTTTCAGCAAATCAAGCTTGTTTGCTGATTCCTGATTGGCCAATGAAAAAATGCTTGCTTACCTCCCAGGGGCAGAGTTTTGGGGGGCTGGGGGCCTCTGCACAAGCAATCCAGGGTCTGAACACTTTTCAGAGCAAGGTGGAGTGAACATTTCTGGCCACAGAGCCAGCTGGCAAGGCAATGGGGGCGTGGTGAGAGGAGATTGGCTGGTAGGGCCCTACTGCTGCCCTGAAGAGCACCTGGATCCATCCTGTCTCTTACAACTGTAGGTCCTCTTGGCCCATCCTGTGCCCCCCCCCATTGACGAGGATCTTTGAGCTGGTAAGAGCCCCCCCTATGGAAGGAAGACAGGTTGAAGCTCTGCTCCTCCTAAGCCTCCTGAGGTTCACTGGCCTAAACTTCACTTGAGATATGCAATGGGGCTCCCTTCTTCCAAGGGTTGTGGGTCTGAAACCTGCTCCTTCCAGATGCTTTGCACAGGTATTGGAGCTTCTCCTGCTGTGACTCATCCTTCCCCTCAGAATCCTATTTGCTGGCCAAGGAGTCGGACGGGGAGCTTGTGGGGCTCCGTGCTTCTCTATTGAGCTGGCAGCAGAGTGAGCACCCAGGAGCCCTTTCAGGAAGAGGGAGTTTGATCCAGAGACAAATTGGCCCCCAGTTGCATGACCTCATGCCAAGAGGTAACATTGGGCAGGACACGTATGAAAAGCTTTCATGTGCCTAGATATCATTGTTCAAAAAGCCTCTAAGTCAAGAATTGTCAGGACGTGGGATTGTGATGCCATAAGCCCCAAGTGAGATTCAGCAAGAAACAATTTCCCTTGCACACAAAAAGACATTTCCGTTTGCTGAGCTGCTTTGAAAACTACAAATGTCCTCTAGCAAAATGCTTGGCAAATCCAGGTCATCTCCTGGTTTTGATTGCATTTCTTCCCCAAGTTAGAAGGCGGCCAGAGGTCTAATCCTTTTCCTGCTCTTACCTAACAAATCTCTGCAGCAACTGCAGCAAGAGCCTTGGTAGTACAGTGGTCTAAAGCACCCTGTTATTAAGACCAGCTGCCTGCAATTACTGCAGGTTCGAATCTCGCCAAGGCTCAAGGTTGACTCAGCCTTCCATCCTTTCTAAGGTAGGTAAATTGAGGACACAGTTGTGGGGGCAATAAGCTGACTTTGTATAAATATACAAAAGAATGAAGGCTACTGCTTAGCGCATTGTAAGCCACCCTGAGTCTCCGGAGAAGGGCGGCATATAAATCAAATTTAAAAAAAAAAACAACAACTCTGGAGTGTAGCACAAGGACCCCAAATCTCAGCTCCTGCTGTCATCAGTTTCCAAGGCTGTCGGTTGCCGTCCATGAGAGTCACGATCATAGTTATGGTGTCTATAGAAAAGGACCTTCTTCTCTTTGGGTGAGTGAAGTGAAGATTCAATCCAGTTTGGCTTCTGTGAAGGGAATGGCTGCTCCCGATCACAGCCTGCGTAGAGATGGGCTGGGAGATCAAGGCAAGGCAAATCCCTTGGCCTTCATATCAAAGCAGAGGGGATGATAGAAAGAGCTCCTCCTAAAAATGTTTCTGGAAAGATTGGAGCAAAGTGATTCAGCTGGGCAGAGGGAAGGGAGAGCTTCTTGTGCATTAAAACAACCTATCAGCCTGCCAGGTTCCCTCCTCCCTGGAATGGAAGGACGATGATCTCTTCCATGCTGAAGGCTAGCAGCAGTGGAGAGAACCCAGGACTCCACTGTGGGCCTCCCCAAGAAGCCCTGTTCCCAAGGGAAGATTCTCAGTGGGTTCCGTGGCACAATCCCCCTGCGTGGGTCCGAGTCTCATGCTGCAGGTTCCCACGCAAAGGATGGAGAAAGCAGAGGTGTCCTCAGAGTGGAGGCAGAGGGTGTCTGGCCTGAATTAAGATTCCATCCTATGGAATTGGATGGAATCTGATTGGTGGAGGAAGGATGGAAAGGATTCCAGTCCTTCGTCCTCCTCCTCTCCACATACTTCACATTGGGCTGCCTTTGACCCAAAGCCCCCTCCCGGAGTGGGCTGATGCGTTGGAGGGTCTGCGCAGGTATCCCAGAGAAGTTTCAACTTTCAATGACTTCAGAGATGCTTATGCAATACCCTCATGCTTGTTGTAGGTAGAGGTATAATTATTTCATTAAGCTTTCCTGTGAAGTGTGAAAACTATCTTTACCAATCCCTCTAAATTAGTTCAATATAATATGCAGCGAAACAGGAGATGGAAAATGTTAATTGAAACTGGAGAGGTGTTTATAGGGCGATAGAGTGTGCCCAACTGTGACTGGAATTAATGTCTGGGGCCCTTGTAAGGAGCTCACATCCCAGCGCTGATTAAGTATTTTCGCTGCAAGTCAAGCCCTGTCAAATGACCCTACAGCCCCCACCCCCATGGGAGAGGATGGGCCTTAAGGGTCCTTTTGAAGAACTGGAGGGGGTGACTAAGAGTGGATAGAGGAGCCAAAGCACCTCACAGGCGCCCCTTCCTGAGGCCATCCAAAACCTGGTCCTGCAAGTCCCACTCAGGGAAAGTATGAACAGGCAAGTCCTACAGAATTCCAGGAACTAAAGACAAACACACTCACGCACATGCATGTGCGCAAGCCAAGGGAAGGCTTCACTCCCCCAGCTTGCCCTGCCTGCTCTAGACCTTGGCCTCCACCCCACTTGAGAGGATCCCTGGGCCCCTGACTGAAGGCTGCTCTCAGGGCAGCAGACATGGGGAGGATGCGGGCAGAGCCACTTCCCTGCACGACCTTTCCTGGGGTCCAGAAGACATGGCTGCAGCAGATGAAGGTTCCCAACTGACAGGCGCATGCTCTGTGCAAACAGAGTCTGGCACCTCAGAGCCCTCCACACTGGCATCTCCCACCAAAGGCTAGAAGATCTTCCACCAGTCCAGCCAGGTCAGGCCTGGCAATGACCTCCAGAGCCTCCTGCCTGGGTGGTCCTGGGGGCATCTGGAGAGGGGTTGCTGATTTCCTCTCCCTGGGCTGCCCTGCATTGAGCTGACCAAATCCCAAATCCACCATCCACAAAGGAGCATCTCCTCCAGCTCTCTCCCGGAAATGCATCTCCCTCCCACAAGCATGAAAAGTTTGGGGGTGCCAGCAGAGCCTTCTGGAAGCATTGGATGGTCTTAGGGGTGCAGCTGGCAGTTCAATGCTCCATTCAAAATGCTCTGTTACCACCCCTCTTGTTGCACTGACCTCCCTTGAGCATTTCCCCAAATAACTGCAGCCTTGAGGTCATGCCTATCTGAATACAGCACAATGTCCATCAGGGTTTCAGTCCTTTTGCCCCACAGACACCATTGAAAAGGGGGAAGGGAGGGAAGAGCAGGCACATTTTATCATTTGGGTGAAGCAACAAGCCGGCATTAGGGGCCCTTTCAGGAAGCCCCAGGGGTCAATTCCCATTCCCTGGTTACTCTTCCCAACCCAACAGAACGTTTCAAAGGAGCTCCGTAGGAGATCAGGGCACAGAGGGCACCTGGAGGCTCAGGACTCCTTCATCAGGATAATCTCCAAAGGCAGCTGGGCAGCATCTGGGCCTCCCAGTCTCTTCTTTCTCCTTCTGAGTAACACAAATACACTGAGATGTCACCCAGATGTACCCACAAAGTATGGAACAGATGCTCCCCACAGCCAAGGCTGGAATAGGAAGCCTGGACAAATTCTGGAAGAGGCTTTTCGGCAGCCAAGGAAAGGAAGCGCCACCAGTTACACTTCCTGGGAAAGCAGTCTGAAAGACCCAGACGGTATAGTGGTGACAGATTGTGGCCTGTCATTCCCTCCCTTTCCTTTCCCTTTTGGACTTAGAGGGCAAGTTAGTTGGCTGCAGGGCTGCAGTCCAGCTGCAAAGAGAGAACCTCCTGGG